ACACACACACACACACACACACACACACACACACACACACACATGTAAGCTCACAGGTGTGCGGGCCAAAGCATTATCCCACACAGACACAGCCACACTGACACAGGCACATCTCCCACACAAGCTCCCAATGTGCGAAGGAAAAGAGGAGACAGTGAGCATTTCTGGCTCCCGGCCAGGGCCATCATGTTATTTCTCGGGCAACTAGGGTCTTTTCCTGAGAATGAATGTGGGATGTCTATTATTAGATAGACCCAGGCAGCAGGTGTGGAACGAGCATCCTGGGTCTAGCTGCTTAAAAAGGGACCCCACTTTGTGGTAGGAACAGAGAAAGTCGCATTGGGAGCCTTGGTCCTGTGTGATGCCATGAGAATCTGTGGTGCGTGGTGGGCTTCCCCCGCCTCCCTGAGACACATTCCTCCAACCCTGCCTGTGTGAAAGCCAAGACAGCCTGAGCAGAGTCAGACTTGAGTGAGCTGTTCAGTGTCCCCTGTGATAGGGACTCCTGTCTCAGGCACTGTGACTTCTTGTTGAGTCCTCAGCCATTTCTGGTGACCTCCACGTGGCATCCCGAGGTGGTAAACTCTATGTGCAGCTCCAGGCTTTGGGAGGACTCCCACTCCTGTAGGAAAACCTTGTGTAAGCCAGATTGGTGGCCAGCACCTTGTACTGGGGCTTCAGCCCTATCATCCCAGTCCTCTGGTTGTTCCTCAGTGGCCATAATTATGTGTCCTCTGTCTTTTATTCTCTGCAAGGGCGGGAGCCATGCAATCTGGTGAGAGCCAAAGGATGGACAAAGCCTGGTTGCCTCAACAGTATTCAGGCAGGTTCTCTGGCCTACTGATTCCTGGTCCTAGTGTCCCCTGAATTTGGTGGTCAACCTGAGCCCAGGTGACTGATACCCTTCTCTTTCCCTTGTGTGTTTTTGTTTATTTTTTCTCTTTAGTTTTTTCACATGGCAAAAGGCGGAGGCACTCAGCTTCGAGGGCCAAGGCTGAGGTTGTAGATGGCGTTTGCGGAGCCATACTGCCATCAAGCGGAATCTGTTTCTGAAAACAGGAGGTAACTGGTTACAAGTGCTGAGGAAAGCACCTGAGCACAAAAGAGATGGCGGCATGGCGCTAGAAGACTGAAGCAGGATGACAGAGAAACTCCTGGCTGGCCCTTGGCCTGGGCTCATTCCCCATCTTTAACGAAGGACAGGCAAGTCAGCCCACCTTGGGTTCCCCTGGCTGTCTCCAGAAACAGACGGTATCGTGAGTCGGCCCACACTCAGCACGCCGAAGCTCCTTTGTATCCCGAGAGGATACAGATTCTCCGGACGCAGGGTGGCCTCAGCCAAGGACACCCCAAAACTGCTCACTAAAGAGTAAACGTCTTCAGTGTCGCTGTCAGTTGCCAGTGGCTTTCCTTATGCCCATCTCAAAATGGCTGCCGGGGCAGCTCCGCCCCCTTGGCTGGCTGGTCTTGGGGCTGCCTGGCTGCTCTGTCTCAGGGCCTCTAGAGTGGCTGCCTCTCTAAGGGGTCACAATAGCAGGTACACTTTGTTTTCGGGCTCTAAACCCGAGTCAGGGAAACTGTCTTCTACACAGCCTCGCATATCTCTGATTTCTGTACCTGGCCCAAGGCAAGTGTCTCTGCAGCCTGTTGCCATGTTCAGAAACAACTTCCGCTGGATGGCACTGTGGCTCCACAAATGGTGGTCACGTCTTTTCCTTCCCCCACCTTGCCTTCGTCTTTATTGGCAGTCAATGGAAGAAAACCCCACACACAAATAAAAACTAAAGCAAAGATAGAAAAGAAAGAAAGAAAGAAAAGAAAGAAGGAAGGAAGGAAGGAGGGAAGGAAGGAAGGCAGGCAAGCAGAAAGAGGGAAGGAGGGAAAGAAGGGAAAAAGAAATTGGCCAAGGATCACCCACCTCACCTACTGCAGGGTTCCCACTTAGGTGGTCACTTTGGGAAAACCTGTGGCAATAGGGTATCTGTGCTTCTCTCCTTCCCTCAGGTTACTTCTCTGGGCAGGGTATCAGTAAATCAGAAATCCTACCCTCAATTATTACACTGTTAGCGCTGTGGCAAGCTGGGGGTAGGTAGCACTGGGGCAGTGTGAGAAGGTTCAATGGGAGGGGTGTGTAGGTGTGTGACTCTGCGTGAATGGCATTGCAGATTCCTCTATGAATTTGCACAGGCCTCCTAAGCAAGTGACCAGGCCACATGCTTGTATATACTTGTCCCTAGGCAGCACTCTCCCTCCTGGGGAAGGGACAAAATCTTGGATCAAAAGCAGCCAGGTCCAAAGGCACCTGCCCATTTTTGACCCATCCAGCAGCAGAGAGTCGGGTCAGAGGTTTCTTGGGATGGGAATGGACAGGGAGGACTCTTGTCTGAGGCCTTCAGCTATCTCTCTCACAGGAGCCCAGGCACTCATCCATGCCTAGGAGTGGCAGGGGTATTCCGGGTGACTGTCACAGATGGCTCTCCTGGAGAGAGAGCCACCTGGCATATCTGACAGAGCAAGCATGCTCACTGGAACGTGGTGGTTCACTAGTTAGTCGCCCTGATGTGGTGATCATTCTGCCAACATGCATGGGTAGCCTCACCACCGACTGTGCTGACTATCGCCTGGGCCCTGTCTGTGTTCCTGTGCTGGGTGTGGAAGTGGAGGTTGATCCTGGAATGTTTTGGGGATGGTGGGGGGGCTGTGCCTTGGTTTGATAGAGGGCTTTCTGGGCTCCTCAGGCTAAACTCTAGTGCTTGCCAGATATTCAACCCAGAAAATGAATGAGATGGTGTAGAGCAAATTATGCTGCTCGTTTAGGGTCTCAATCAAACATAAGAAAGCCTGATGCGCGTCATCATACAAAGTTATGTTGGGATGCAAATCCATGACCACATTGCTCTTAAGGTTACATAGGCTACCCATGCTGCTCAGTGCCTGGAGACCAGCATGGAACACAATGCTGTTCAGAATATTGCCAATGTTTTCTGTTTTTGCTGGTTACAAATCTTCCTGGATGCGAAGGCCGCACTTGGAATGCACAGAGCTTCACAGGACAGAAAATTTATCCCACAGCTCATGATTCCCACACTCAGGGGGTGTGTGAAGAACTCTCACAAGCGTAATGCCCATCCCATACGTGGGCCTGTACTCTCAGGGTATTCCGGGAAGAAGACCAACTAAGCATGGAACAGGAGTCACCCCCTTTCTGTCACTTGTCCACAAATGCGGACGTTTTCCTTATATGTAGGTAGTATCCACCACAGGGTACCTGCGGCCCTGCCCAGGAAAAACTCAGGAAGAGAAGAATGCGGGAAGATCTGGCCTGCGTCTTTAAGGGTGGCTTTGACTCTGAGTGTCAGATGTCCTTGTTTTTGACATTTAACTCCCATCACGTCTCAACTTTTTCCTATCTTCATATATGCTTTCATAAGTCCTCAGGCACATACATCGATCCTCACCCATAGTCGCAAACCTCTGCCCAGACACCTTCATTCACACCTGTGTGGCGTGGTGTTGGCAACTCAGAATGGGCCGTTTTTCAGGTTTCCGGTTCCTTCTTGTTCATCTTTCTTGCAGCTTTCTGTCTGGTTTTCCAATATTTGCTGTTGGATTGTGCATGTTGGGTTGGGGTAAGGGTAGTGGGAAGCAGGGCAGCCTCTGGCCCAACAGGCCTCTGGGCAGATGTGGCACAAACCCGGGCTTAAGGGGCTGATGCTCCTTTCTGGTCGGTGCCTCTTTCGCCGTGACAAGAAGGTCCTTGGTAGTGTGTACTTTACGTGGGACGTCACTGGTGGCTCCTTGCCACTCATTGTTTATGTCAGCATGCATTTAGCCCCTCCTGAAATAGATCCTTTAGGACAGCTAAAATGGCATGAATCTTCAATGTTTTGTTTTTATTGTTGCTCTTTCTCCTCCTACTCCTCTTCTTTCCTTCTTCTTCTTTTCCTACTCATCTTGCCCCACGTTGTCCTCCCCTTCTGCTTCTTCTGTTTCTACCTCTGCTCTGCTGTTCATTCTGTTTCTTATTCTTCTGCTTCATTTTCTTTTTATTCTTGTTCTTATTGTTCTTTCTTCTTCATTATGTTTGTCTTCTCCTTTTTCTTCTTTTCTTGTTTTTCTCTTTTCTTCTTTTTCTCTTTTCTGTCCCTCCTCCCCATCTGGATGTGTAGGCCACACTGCGAATGGACAGAGCTTCACAGGACAGAAAATTTACCCCACAGGTTATGGGGTAAAATTTTGCTAGCTTCTCTCTTCCTCCTTTTTGCTGGCTTCTTCCTCTCCTCCCCTTCCTCCTCCTCCTCTTCCTTCTCCTCCTTCTGCTTCCTCTTTCTCTTCTTCCCTTTCTTTTCTTTCTTCCTCTTCCTCCTCCTTTTTTTTTTTTTTTTTATGCTTTTTCTTTTTCTTCCTGCTTCTGCTTCTGCTGGTGCTTCTCTTCTCCTTTTCACTTTCAGATCTGGGCGGGCAAGTGTTCTAGGTGGCTGCTCCCTCTTTTTTCTTGTAGCTTTCTGCCTGGCTTTCCAGTATTTGCTGTTGGATTGTGCATGTTGGATTTGGGTAAGGGCAGGGGAAGCAGGGCAGCCTCCTGGCCCAACAGGCCTCTGTGCAGATGCAGTGCAAACTGGGCTTCAGGGGCAGATGCTTTTTCCTGGCTAGTGCCCCTTTTTCTGTAACAAGAAGCTCCTTGGTGGTGTGTCCTTTATGTGGGACATCACTGGTGGCTCCTTGCCACTCATTGTTTGACCTCCCCTGAAGTAGATTCTTCAGGACAGCTACCGTGACATGGACCTTCCACTTTTTCTTCTTGGTCTCCTTCTGGTTTTCTTCCTCTTCTTTCTTCTACTCATTTCTTTCTTCTTCTTCTCATACTTTTCTTGGTCCACCTCCCCCTCCCCCTTCTTTTGCTTCTTCCAATTCTGCCTCTGCTCTTTTTGTTCTGCTTCTGATTCTTCTGCTTCATCTTCTTTTTATTCTTGTTCTTGTTCTTCTTTCTTCCTCTTGTTCTTCATTATCTTTATCTTACCCTTCTTTTTCTTTTCTCTTTATTCTCTTTTGTCTTCCTCCTCCTCCTTCTTCTTCTTTTGTTTCTGCTACTCCTCCTCCTCCTTTTTTGCCTCTTTTTCATTTTCTTCCTGCTGTTGCTTCTGCTTGTGCTTCTCCTTCTCTTTTGGCTTTCACTTTTGGATCTGTGTGGACATGTGTTCTAGGAGGCTGCTTTTTCTTCTGTTCCTTCATAATGGGGGATGTTTCACTGCAGCAGTAGGCCTCGAGAAAGCTTCACTTTTAGTCTTAAAGGAGCAGAGATGAAAGTCACCAGTTTAGTCCCTCTAGTCCATCAAAAAGCTGTCCCCGTGTTACTTTTAAGTGAAATGTCATGGTAAACGCAGCATTTACCCAGTACCTCATGGCTCGCCGTCACATCCCATTCTTCTTGTAGATGCTCTAAATGTGAAATCCTGAGCCAGCAGGAGCCTCAGCAAGTTGTCCCCTGTCTCCTTTCATTTTAATCAGGCCATGTGAACACATTAATCTGTATTTCAGCGTGTACAGGCAGGCTGTCTGTACCGCGTGCCCATTTGCCCACCCTCACTCACACAGGCAGGCACTCACAGACCATAGCCTCAGCCACATACACATGCAGTCGCAAGGGTTCCTCGCAGCCAAAAATAAAATCACAAACACACACACACACACTGAGGAACATGAACACGCAGACACAAACTCACATGCTTACACACACCAATGTGCGTGCATGTGCACACACACACACGTAAGCCCACATGGGCACAAAGGTGCGGACCCAAGCATTATCCCACACAGACACAGACACAGACACAGACACACTGCCACAGGCACAAGATTGACCATAATCTCTCCAACACAAGCTCTTAATGAGCAAAGGGAAAGTAGAGATAGGCGAGAATTCCTGGCCAGGGCCTTTTCCTGAGAATGGATGTGGGAAGTCTGTTATCAGATAGGCCCAGGCAACAGGTGTGAAACAAGCAGTCTGGGTCAAGCTGCTTAAAAAGGGACCCCATTTTCTGGTAGGGGCAGAGAAAGTCCCCATGGGAGCCTCCATCCTATGTGATGCCATGAGAATCTGTGGTGCGTGGTGGGCTTCCCCCACCTCCCTGAGCCCACCTCCTCCCACCCCTGCCTGTGTGAAAATCAAGATAGCCTAAGCAGAGTCAGACTTGAGTGAGCTGCTGAGTGTTCCCTGTGAGGGAGACTCCTGTCTCAAGCCCTGTGACTTCCTGTTGAGCTGTCAGCCTTTTTTGGTGAACTCCATGTGGCACCCCAAGGTGATAAACCCTACCTGCAGTTTCAGGCTTTGGGAGGACCCCCCAGTCCTTGAGGAAAACCTTGTGTAAGCCAGCCTGGTGGCCAGCACCTTGTCCTGGGGCAGCAGCCCTATGGGGGTTTCCCAGTGGCCAAGTTTGTGTGTCTTTTGTCTTTTACTCTCTTCACGGAAGGGAGCCATGCAATCAGGAGAGATGCCAAAGGAAGGGCAAAGGCTGGCTGTCTCAGCAGCATTTCTACAGGATCTCCTGCCTGCTGGATCCTGGTCCTAAGGTCCCCTGAGTTTGGTGGTCAACTTGGTCCCAGGTGGCTGATTCCCTTCCCTTCTATCTGTTTTTGTTCCTTTTTTCTCTTTACTTTTTTCACATGGCAAAAGGCGGAGGTCCTCAGCTAGGAGAGGCAGGGTTAGGGTTGTAGTTGGCATTTGTGGAGCCATACTGCCATCAAGCGGAAACTGTTTCCAGAAATGGGATGCAGTTGGGTGCAAGTGCTGGGGAAAGCCCAGGAGCTCAAAAGAGATGGTGGCGTGGGGCCCCAAGACTGAAGCAGGGTGACAGAGGAACTCCTGGCTGGCCCTTGGACTGGGCTCATTCTCAGGATGGTGCCGTGGTGCCCCGGCACCTGTGCTATGTTTAAGGAAGGGCAGGCTGGTCGGCCCGCCATGGGT